CCTTTAAAAGGCAGATCAATAATACGGTTTCCTTTTTGGTGATTTAATCCTGCTGTGTGCCTTGTTTCCTGGGCCTTCCTGTTTTTTGTTTTTCATGCATGTAGGTCCATGCCTGGACCATTCAGCACAGGAGGGTACATCTGGAAAAGCCACTGTTCAGTGAGTTCCTGCTACTGAGTTGAAAACTTGGGGGATACAGCTGTTTTTGTGACAAAAACAAGAGAAACACTTGGCGGGCAGTGTTTAGCTTTAGGAACTGCTGGCTTCACAGAGTCCAGTGCTAAATATGGCATTTGAGAAACTCTAGTCAGCAGCAGATGTGAAAAGCATGTTTCAAGTCCCTGTTTGTGCCCTGGTGTTCACAGAGCAGCCAGCCTGTTCTCAGATAGGTACATGTGGAAAAGTGGAGATCAGAACTGTGTGCACCACAGTACACAACCTTCACAAATACAAATGCTCATTATTTCTCTCAGAGTCCAGCAGTCAGGTATCTTTAAGATGCCAGGGCCATTGTTTTCAGGACTGATGGTCAACAAGGCCAAACCAAAGGAAAAAGGGGTCACCAACTTCTACCACAGGCTTTAGGGTGCTGTACCCTGATAGTTTCTTAAAGCTGGGCTGCCTCTCAGGTGGCAGTGTGGCCCAGAACAGTGATCCTCAGTCTCTGCTTAGGAAACTGGCCAACATGCAGAACCCTGGGCACCTGGCCCCTGCCCTAGAGACTCCGATTCAGAAGATGACCCTGATGCAGGCGCTAAAGACCCATGCTTGGTGAGCCACTGGAACAGAGGAAGAGTCGGGCCTTATATAAGAGTAACCTGCCCACATACCACTGGCTTAACTCTGGGAGCCGCAAGCCCCTTCTCTGTTGAACAGAGCTATGCAGGTCTGACCTGCAGGGCTGCTGTGAAGATGAGGAATGATGTATGAGCCGCCCCTGGCAGCAAGCCTAGCCCTGAGTGTGCGGTGGGGCACACAGTACCAGTTCAGCCTCACTGGGAGCCAGCGGTGACAATGTGAAAGTCTGTGTGATCCTGTGCAGCCCTGCTCAACTTTCTGTGTACCTCTGTTATCATCTGCCACCCTCCTCCATTCTGAAGTCCTTCCCCTGCCTGGGGTGCAGTGGCTGGGCTGAACCCTAGGAAGAGTTTTTCCAGATGTCATCCACCCTCTTCAGAGGAGATGTGAGGAGGGGAAGGAAAGTAGAGATTCCCAGTGGCAGGCGATGCCTTGGCTCTGCGTTTTCCTCCCTCCTGCGGAGGTGCTGATGGTGGGAAAAGCTTCTAAGCAGCCTGCATGCCTGCACAGAGGCAGTCTCTGGTGCTCATTAGAGCAGCATCACTCAGTTCATCTCATTTGATCCCTAAAACTGTGGCATGGAAGGAGGACAAAGAAAACAGAGTCCTCGTCTCCATTCTTGGTTCACTCCATTCCATCTTCAACACTATCCTCATAGTAATTAAAAAGAAAAAAAAATCCAAAGGAAAACTCTAGACCTGCTGTGCCCTGCTTAGAATCCCCTCCAACCTCCCAGCTGCTTAGAGCAAGGCTCAGAAAATTTTTATGCAAAGGGCCATATGGTAAATATTGTAGGCCTAATAGTCCAAGAGAAAAAGCTGAGGCTACTAGGTAGGTACAGCACTTATATAACAAGAGAGAAGACAAATTTACACAAATTTCTTTTGATGAAATTTGAAATATAATAATGAACACAGACTTGTTTCGGCAATATAGTTCTACAGTTCTACTAATGAGTAAAACAGATTCATTTTGGGGGAAGGATGACTTTTCACTTGCTTGAAGTTCAAAGATAGTGTTCCCTATCATCAAATGGGTTGCAAATAATCATGTGTAAAAAATGTCTAACTTGAGAGCCACACAAAAGTAGGTGGAGGGCTACATTTGGCCTGTGGGCCATAAATTTGGGACCCTGACTTAAAGGATCAAGTCTCAGCTCCTTCACGTGGCAAACCTGGCCTCAGGGATTTGCCCTGTGCCTCCCCCACCAGCAACCCTACAGCCAGCCAGCTTCAACTGCTTTTTGTCCCTTACATGTACTTTGCTCTCCTGACTGTGAAGCATCCTTCTTCTATCCCACTTCCCAGCCTGGGAATTCCCGTTTATCTTAGCCTATACCGTCTTTTTCAAGACTACTTATCTGGACACTTTCCCTAAATCTCTTCCCTCCCATAGATCCCAGTATGGACGTGCAGCATGGAACTGAGCAGGTAATATACTTGGGAGGTTACAGTCTGTAACTCCATCATTGGTCTGGGACATTCTTAAGGGAAGGTATCACTTCATTCCTATTGTATTCATTGCACATGTGCCCAAAACAGGGAGGGACGCTGGCAACCCTGTCCCAGGTCTTCTGACTATAGGGTAGTGTTTCCTGTGTCACCTCCACCCCAGGTCATCCAGTTACCTTGGAAGCACCATGTTTTTATAGCTTACCACTCAACTGGCCTTGTGACTGAGCCAGGGTGGGCACTGGATTCTAGCCAGGCCTGTCAGTCTTTCCCTGAGGTCTTTCAAGCTGAGACAAGAAAAGACACAGGGACAGAAAGTAAAACTCTCGAGTGTTGGCAGCCTTGATCTTCACCTTGAAGGAAGACATTGCCATGAGAGAGGAGGAGGATGGTGTGCAGAGAGGAGCAAGAAGTTTCTGGACAAAGAGAGCCCTCCTGGCATGAGAGTCTGGCTGACGCTCAGCTGTACCATGGCAGCTAATCACAAGCCTTTATTTGGAAACCACAAGACAACAGACGCCCCTTTATACCTGAGCTAGTTTCAGTGGCAACCCAAAGACTCCTGCTGTCCTGGTCTTGGCATTCTACCCACTGTGCCATTTGCTTCCAAACATTTTCAAAGCCCAGGAACCCCTTGTTCAAAACAAATCTTACCTGGAAGTCCAGATGACCTATACGGTATATTCTGTGTGATACAGGTCACCTGGCCAACACGGCAAAACCCTGTCTCTACTAAATATGCAAAAAATCTTCACTCCAACAACTCTGAGCCATGTGATCAAGGCCAAGACACGTCTCTCCCAGCCTCAGTTTCCCTCTTTGTAAATACAGAGTAGAGATATCCAAGTGATGTAGTTTGTATATTTGTCCCCACCCAAATCTCATGTTGAATTATAATCCCCAGTATTGGAGGTGGGGCCTGGTGGGAGGTGATTGGATCCTGTGGGTGGGATCTCTCACGAATGTTTTAGCACTATGCTCTTAGTGCTGTCCTCGTGACAGTGAGTTCTCATGAGAGCCAGTTGTTTAAAAGTATGTGGCACTGCTCCACTCTCTCTCTCTTGCTCCTGCTTTCCCCATGCAATGTGCCTTCTCCCACTTTGCCTTCCGCCGTAAGTAAAAGCTCTCTGAGGTCTTCCCAGAAGCTGAGCAGATGCCAGCATCATGCTTGTACAGCCTGCAGAACCATAATCCAATTCAACTTCTTTATAAATTACTCAGTCTCAGATATTTCCTTTTTTTTTTTTTTTGAGACAGAGTCTTTCTTGCTCTGTCCCCCAGGCTGGATTGCAGTGGTATGATCTTGGTTAACTGCAACCTCCAACTTGAGAGTTCAAGTGATTCTCCTGTCTCAGCCTCCTGTGCAGCTGCGATTACAGGCCTGTGACACCATGCTCAGCTAATTTTTATATTTTCAGTAGAGATGGGTTTTTGCCATGTTGGCCAGGCTGGTCTCCAACTCCTGACCTCAGGTGATCCACCCAGCTTGGACTCCCAAAGTGGTGGGATTACAGGCATGAGCCACCACACCTGGCCTCGGGTATTTCTTTATAGCAATGCAAGAATGGCCTAATATACCAACTCTTAGGGTTACTGTAGGGTTTAAATGAATTAATATACAGGAATCACTTAACCTGGTGCCAGTGGTATAACAACCACTCAAAAAACACTGGCTCTTTTTTTCCACAGTCTGTCTTTGTCGCTCAGGCTGGAGTGTAGTGGCATTACTTCAGCTCTCTACAAACTCCACCTCCTAGGTTCAAGTGATTCTCCTACCTCAGCCTCATGAGTATCTGGGATTACAGGCCACCGTGCCCAGCTAATCATTTGTATTTTTGGTAGAGACAGGGTTTTGCTGTATTGGCCAGGCTGGTCTCGAACTCCTGGTCTCAAGAAATCTGCCTGCCTTGGCCTCCCAAAATTCTAGGATTACAGGCATAAGCCACCGTGCCTGGCCAGCATTGGCTCTTACTATATGGAAGTGATAGATGGGGAAATGCAAGGCACCTGCTACCCTTAGCTTCCTTCTCATCTCTCCCTCATCAAATTGGTCTTTGGCACATGGATAATGTTTAAATTATTATTTTTTTCTTGTATTTGGGCTCTGGGGTACATGTGCACGTCCTACAACCTGCAGGATTATTGCATAGGTACAGACATGCCATGGTGGTTTGCGGTCTCCATCCCCCCTCAATTGTTTAAATTATTAGAGATGATTGATTTAATATACTTCTTCCTGGCTAGACTGGGAACTCACAAGGACAAGGAGCATATTTGTCTTGGTCACTGTTTTCCCCCAGGTCTGGCCTATTGAAGGTGCCCAGTAACTATTTGCTAACTAACTGATAATGGATATGTGTCATCTCATTAACAAATAGGTGCAACACATGTTACCAAATCTGGTGCCTTTTGCAGCAGAATCAGAAAATTCATAAGAAGAGAAAAACACTTGACTTATAGGACAGCCCCTCAGAACTAAAGCTAATTCTTTTGGTTTGATCAGTTATGTTACTTAGGGTTTCCCAGGTTTTCCCCATTTTGAAATTAATTAATATAATAAAAGCCTATGATGTAACTTATGAAATACATTTAGAGCAATAAGAGAAAATTTCATATTCATAAACACTTAGATTAATAAAATGAAAACAAATGAGTTAAATTCCAAACTCATAAAGATAGAAAAAAAATTTCAACATAGCAAAGCAAAATAAAGCACAAGGACAGAAATAATAAAGATAAAATCAAAAATTAATGAAATAGAGAATAGGATTTATGGGATTAAAATCCTGGCTCTTTGAAAAAAATTAACATAAAATAGGCAAGCCACAAATTAAGTCAAGGAAAAAGGGAGAAAACCCAAATATAAAATGAAGAAATTATAATGGGAAAATAACTGTCAAAAAGTAGAAAGTTTTAAAATTCATGAGACCACTTTGTAAATCTCCATGCAAATAAATCTGAAAATGTAAGTGAAATGGATAATTATCTAGAAAAACACAGTTTGCCAAAATGACCTCATTAGGGCAGAACCACTTTTGGTAAAAGAAATAGAGAAAACTGTCAAGGAATTTCCCTACAAAAGAAGCGCCTGGCCTAAAGGATGCCACAGAAGACACAAATCTCCAAAGACTACAGAGTTTCAAAGCTACATAAATTCTTTCAGTGCATGAAAAGTAAGGTAAACTTCCAAATTATTTTTATAAACAAATACAGCATTGATTCTTAAACAAATAATACACACAAATATTGGCACAAAAATCCTAAAGTAAATGTTAGCATACAGAATCAACATCTGCTATGGTTTGAATGCTCCTCCCAAAAAGCATGTGTTGTAATCCAAACTGCAACACTGTTGAGAGATGGAGCCCAATGAGAGGGGGTTAGGCCATGAGGACTCTGTCCTCACGCATTGATTAATGCTGTTATCTTGGGAGTAGTTTCATTGTGAAAGGCTGAGTTTGGCCTCCTTTTCTCTCTCTTCCTTTCTCTCTCTCATTTCCTTCCAGTTTCTGCCAAAGGATGATGCAGGAAGGCCCATGCCAAATGCCAGCCCCTGGATCTTGGACTTTCCAGCCTCCAGAGTTATAAGAAATAAATTTATTTTCTTTATAAATTACCTAATCTCTGGTAGTGTGAAATAAACTTATTTATTGTGATTTATTTAAATGCTTTAAGAAGAATAATTTGTTAATCTCCACTAATGTTGAAAAAAGCCTTTGGTAAAAATCAACATTTAGTTTTAATTTTAAAAAATTCGTGAAAATAGAAATTGATGGATACTTTCTTAACATGATGAAATACATAAACCTTAGTTCTAAAACCAGTTAAATGAAGAATCACTAGAGGCATTTACATTAAGATCAGGAACATGGCAAGGATGCCCATTATCTCTACTACTGTTTATTATTTTATTGGAGATATAAGCCAATGCAATTAGACAAAAGAAATAAATTAGAGGCATAAGAACTGGAAGGCATAAAGTAAAACTAAGTCTATTTGCAGATGATGTAATAGAATACCTAAAAAAAATCTGGGAGATTGAATTAACTCAAACAATAAAATAATTATGCAATTAGCAGGATATAAAATTTACACAGAGAAACCAACTGGGTCCATATATGCAAAAATAAATAAAAAGTTATAGCAGTAGATAAATCTCCAGATAATAATAAGGAAGATTGAATAGTTAGAATTAAACTTAATAAGACATATACAAAACCTGTATGAAGAACACTTCCTAATGTGCCTGAAAGATATAAAAGTAGGCATGAAGAAATGGAAAGATACCTCTTGTTCTTGGATAGTAAAACTCAATATCACAAAGTTGTAAATTCTCCTAAAATTTATTTATAAATAATGCAATAAAAATACCAGCAAACTCTTTATGGAGTCAGACAAATTGATATAAAAATTCATGTAGAAAAATAAACACGAAGAATAGCTAGACCACCTGATATTCTAGAAAAAGAAAATCCGTAAGGGTTGTCTACTAACCACATATTAAATCATTCTATAAAATCTCTGTAATTAAAACTATGAATTATTGGCACATGAATAAACAGAAAGACTAGTGAAAGAGAACAGAAATCTAGAAATAGACTTAAGTCCACATGGAAATTCAGTATATGACAAAGGTGTGATCTGAAGTCACTGGAGCATAGATGGGCTCTCTAATGAAATGGTGCTGGTCAACTGGGTGGCCGTTTGGAAAAAAGATAAGATTAGATCCATTCCTCATGTCATCCACGCAAATAAACTCCAAATTTAAAATAAGAAAAAGAAGAATGACAATAGAAGAAAATGTTAGAGAATTCCTCTATAAACTCAGTATACAGAGAGAGCACCATAAACACAAAGGACTGATAAATTATACTATGTAAAAATTTAAAAATATTTGCATAGTAAAAATAATTGATAATTCATTTAAAAAATATGTATGTCTAAGAGGCTTACTATATCTTTCACCCAAAAAGTATTAGCTTAGATCTACCAAAAAAGTGATGTCATCCTGTCTAAACAAGCCACTTACTTCTCTAGTTTCATGTAAAAGAATCACCACGAGGACCTTGGAGAGGGGAGGGAGAGCCTAGTCTCATGTTAGCACTGGCTCCAGCTTTACCTTCTTCAGTTTCTTGTGGGCCCCACTGTGGTTCCCCTGCGCCAGGTCTGCTCCTCCCAGGAGCCGGTATGTCTCTGCCACCTCGGGACTGAAATCGTCAAATACTCCCACTTTGGCTTCCAGGGACTCTCTCAAGATGGAGGTTGCTCTCTATGAAAGGAATAAAAAGCTGTCTGGTTAACAAGCTCAAAGGCCGATTAGGATCAGTGCCACTTATGAAAATTACATAACTTGTGTATTTTCACTTTTTAGAGGAATGAGTGTGGTAGTTTCGTGAGCTGAGCCTATTTTCCTCTTGTATTAGTCCATTCTCATGCTGCTATGAAGAGATACCCAAGACTGGGTAATTTATAAAGCCAAGAAGTTTAATTGACTCACAGTTCCACATGGGTAGGGAGGCCTCAAAAAACCTCACACATGTGTTGTTTCCTGACTCCTGTTCAACCAGAGGTGATATGGCTTGGCTGTGTCCCCACCCAAATCTCATCTTGAATTGTAGTTCCTACAATCCTCATGTGTCATGATAGGGACACTGTGGGAGGTGATTGAACCATGGAGGCGATTACCCCCATCCCGTTCTTGTGATAGTGAATTCTCACAAGATCTGATGGTTTTCAAGGAGCTTTTCCCTCTTTGCTCAGCACTTCTCTCTCCTGCTGCCCTATGAAGAGGTGCCTTCTGCCATGATTGTAGGTAGGCTGATAAGAGGGTGTGGGCACCTGGGAGCACAGGAGAAGCACACGGCTTTGAGGGCCAGTGAATAGCCAGGTTGAGGAAGTCAGAGAAGATTCTTGAGCAAGAGAGTGGCACAACTAGAAGACAAACCCTTAAGAGTAGCTTAACCTGTGGCAGAGTGACCTGCACTTACATTTTACCTTAAAAGCATTTCCTCCGAAAGATCATGTTCCACAGTGCCCATGTGTAGGCTATGGGCACATCTGGGATGACCTGAGTGCAGCCCCATTCTTGGTTCTGGGACTGTCCTTGCGCCCTGCCCTAGTCAGCCAACACCTGCTAGAACCTACAGTGAGAGGCTTCCAACAAAATGGTGAGAACAGCATGAGGCTGCCATGTTTGGCTGGGTGGGTGGTGCCACACACAAGGCGGCCTGGCAGGAGCATAGTGAGGGCTGAAATCCAGCCTATGGTCCCCTCCAACATGGGCAGTATCTACCTGAGGAAGGGTCAGCTTTTTCTATTCTCATAAGGGCACTGGATGGGCTGGCAGTGGCCCTAGAATGAAAAGAGCCAGTTTGTTAAAATCTTCCAGGGCAACTTAGGACAGTGAGGTGCATCTTTTGATCAACACTGATCTGAGTGACTTGGGCAAAGGCAGTGAGGCATAGCATCATGACACTGAGCATCGGCTGACTCAGCAAGACACTATGGTGAGAAGCCAGACAGTACAGGGGAACTGATGCATGGCCCATGGGAATCAGAACAGTCAGCTGGCCTGTGGCGAAACATGCATCCACCTCTCTGCTCATCACCCTTAGCACAGGCAAGGGAGTCTCTGCTCTCACAGGTTCAGCCTAGTTGCAAGACAGATGCTAAATATCCACATGAATATATATTTACACATATTTGATGACATAAAATGGATTCCGTAAGCAAGAATAATGTGGAATATCTAATGAAGACTGGGGAGAGGAATCAGAGAAACTGGTAAGAAATGAAGGATGGGTTGGCATTGGCCTAGAGATGAATGAGGAAGGGACTTCCAGAAGGAGGAAACAGAAGCTGGCACTGCCCAGAAGTGGGAATTGAAAAGGCCAGTGTGGCAGGAACATGGATCAGGGAGAGGGGGCAAAAATGAGCCTGGAAATGTCAGTGGAGTCCAGGTCGTGGAAGGTACTGTGGGCCATGTCAGGATTCTGGTTTATCCTGAGGGCATCGGGGAGCCAATGGACTATTTTACAAACGAGTGTTCACTGGTCAGATCTGCTTTTTGGAAACATCAGCACGGCTTCCTTATTATGAGTGGATTAGAAGAAGGCAAGCATGGAAAAAGCAACTGCGAGACAGGAACTTGTTAGAGTGGTCCAGAAAAGAGATGGTGAGTGGCGGGACTAAAGATGGAAAACAGTGGATGTAGCCAAGACATATTTTGGAGGAAAAAATAACTGAGGAACTGGATGGGGTGGGGCATGAGGGGGCAGACTTACCCATTCTTCTGACCTGAGCTCTCCCCATAAGACTTCTAGAGATGTGAGGGGGGACAGGGAGGGAATCTGAGGCCCCTGGAAGGCCCCTCTCTCTCCCTGGGGTTGGGTGACCCAGAAAAATCCTGAAACTCCCATTTGTCATGGTGATTGCAGCCCTACTTTGGCCTGAGAAACATGGGTATAGCTACATAAAAGCCTGTGCTCTGTAACTGAGAGAAGTGGGGGCAGAGAGGGGATTAAGGATAAGGAAAGAGCTATGGTGGGGGAGGAGGTCAACAGACAGCAAGGGAAATAAAAAGTTTTCATTTCTGAGATTTGCTATGATAGCATAGAGTTGAAAAAAAACCACAGTCAGCCCTCCATATCCATAGATAAAAAATATATGGGGAAAAAAACAATAAAAATAACAATACAACAATTAAAACAATACAAATAACAAACATAGTGTAACAATTATTACCATAGCATTTACATTGTATTACGCATAATAAGTAGTCTAGAGATGATATAAAGTATTCAGGAAGACGTATTTAGGTTATATGCAAATATGACACCATTTTATACAAGGGCTTCGGCATCCTTGGATTACAGTATCCATGGGGGTTATGGAACCAATCTTCCACAGATGCTGAGGAACAACTATATGTATGCTTGTGTGCATATATGTACTGTGTATATATGTATGTATGTGTGGCTTTCTAGGAAACTGAGATGGTATTAACCTCTGATAAGAAAAGCTTAATGGAGGCCAGGCATGGTAGCTCACACCTGTAATCCCAGGATTTTGGGAGGCCGAGGAGGATGCATCACGAGATCAGCAGTTCAAGACCAGCCTGGTGGAGATGGTGAAAGCCCATCTCTACTAAAAATACAAAAAAATTGGCTGGGCATGGTGGCAGCGGCTGTAATCTCAGCTACTCAGGAGGCTGAGGCAGAGAATTGCTTGAACCCAGGAGGTGGAGGTTGCAGTGAGCTGAGACTGCACCACTGCATTCCAGCCTGGTCAAAAGAGCAAGACTCCATCTCAAAAAAAAAAAAAAGAAAAGCTTAACAGAGAGGAGTGAAGAGTAAACAGGACATAGATGGGCTGAGAAGAGGGTGTGAGCAAATGTACATAAATATATACACACATACATATGTACACAATACATATATATACACACATATGCACACATATATAGTTGTTCCTCAGTATCTGTGGGCGACTGTATATATATATGTATTAATATACACACACACACACACACACACACACACACACACACACATAAAAATAAAGCCACAGTATGTTAGGCTTTGCAAGGAATATGTTCCCAAGGGTTTAATTACCAATGAAAATAAAGTCTGATCTCTTTCTATTTTTACAACCCATGTAAATCACACTTGTATGAATCAATACTAAAAGACTGAGCTGTAACTTCTGCACCATGTAGTTTTCCTTAGATAATGCAAATTCCATTCATTACCCAAACTGAGGAGAGAGGGATCAGACATACTAACTGCCACACAATTCCAGCCACATCTGCAGGACTTCAATAAGCAGGCTTCTCAAGGTTTCTATTCCTTAGGATCTTTTGTAGGTGGGCATGACAATCTATATTCTCGTAAAGTTTCCAACTTCTAAGAGCAAGGATCTCTGAAAGCTGACTGAAAGGAGCCCCTAGCCTTATTTATGTGTCCCTGTAAAGACTGGCACATGCTTTGCACACAGTAGGTGCTTAATGGATGCTTGCAGAGTGTAGGAGTAGCCCTTTAGATATCACCTGTGAATAATGAGACAATTGTGATCCAAATTCACTTACCTCTTTTTGTCCAGTCATTTGTAGAAAATGGCAAAATTCATCTTGAATTGAAAGAAATTTGGTTCTTCCAATCCCTTCAGAGTCCTTTAGATGAGCCATGCTCTCTTGAAAATACTGCTCAGCTACATCTGAAGAAAAGCATTTATTATAACTTTGAAAACTGCTTACAGATTTGAAATGGAAACAGAATAAATATACTGTTAGCAGTGTTGAGCTATTTAAAAAGAGGTATTGGGACAAGAAAAAACAGTTAAGACTGTCCTTTGCCCATTAAACTGCCTGTTTCATTGGAAAGAATTTAGGTCTCAAAGGATACTGTAATTTACTTTCCTTAATTTTCATATATCTAGCTTTCCTGGTGATACATAAAGAAAAGTTACTGCAAAAGAAGAGACTATGATCCAGACCTGAACACACTGGTAAGTTTTCAGGTTGATCAACCATTAATTCTTCCTATAACTTCAGTAACTCCTTACTAAGGGTAGGACTCTAAGAGTTCACTTACTTTGATGGATTCGAAGTATAAGCTTGTAACATATTTCTGAAACGCGGAAAATATTGTTGACATGCTGCTGAGGGAACAAATCATTCAAAACCCCAATCATTCCAAATCCTTCAACATACTGGTTATAATATAACACAAATTTTTTTAATGCATGCCAATCTTCAAAGTAAGAAAAAGAAAACCTCAGGTGTGGAAAATGATGAGAGAACTGAAAGCCAGAGAAGTGAGTGGGAGCTGAGGTTGAACGGCCCATGAGCATATTAGAAAAAAGGTCTATCTTCCTTCCTCCCCATCACCTATATCTGGCATTTCAAATCACACTGCCATGTGTGTACCTATGCAACAATCTTGCATGTTCTTCAAACGTACCCCAAAACCTAAAATGCAATAAAAAATATTTTTTATCAATTTGAAAAGAAAAAAGGTCTATCTTCTAGCACTGGGGCTTTCCAAGCCTGAGCAGGACTAGGGATGAAGCCTGAGGCCCATTTGTGGTGGAAGGCTGAACGCAACTCCCTGCAAAAAGCCGGTGTGGCTGGCAGAATTCTAAAATGACCCGTGAGCCTTGCCCTTCTGCAGCACCTTCCCTGTGGTTATGGGTGGAACTTGTGAGTATGAAGATATAGTTCTCCTGTGATTAGCTGATGTTATAGGGCACAGCTGACTTTAAGAAAGCGAGATTATGGCTGGGCGTTGTGGCTCACACCTGTAATCCCAGCACTTTGGATGGCCAAACAGGGAGGATCGCTTGAGCCTGGAAGTTCAAGACCAGCCTGGGCCACATGGCAAAACAAAAAATAGAAAAAATACAAAAAAAATTAGCCAGATGTGGTGGTATGCACCTGTCATCTCAGCTACTTAGGAGGCTGAAGTGGGAGGATTGTTTGAGCCCAGGAGGTTGAGCCTTCAGTGGGCCTCAACCACCACTGTACTCCAGCCTAGGTGGCAGAGCAAGACCCTGTCTCAAAACAAAAGAAGAAGAAAAATGAAAGCGAGATTATCCCCTGGGCCAGACTTAATCACAGGAGCCCTTTAAAGCAGAGTGTTTTCTCTGGCTGGTAGCAGAAAAGGAAGTCACATTTAGGGAAAGCATGACAGAGATGTGATGAGAAGAATTCTGCCTGCTGCTGAGATGGAGAGGGATGTGGTAGAAGGACCTGAGCAAGAGCAGCCTGTGGGAGCTGAGAGGGGTTGCTGGCCACCAGCTCTCCAGAAAACAGGGACTTCAGTCCTGTGGCTGCAAGGAACTGAACTGTGCTCATAACAGGAATAAGGTTCAGAAAGGATCCCAACCTCCAGTTGAGTGGGGCTGGCCAACAACATGATTTCAGCATGAGCAGAGAAGCATGCCTTACCACACCAGACTTCTAACCTACAGAACTGCGAGGTAATAAATGGGTGAGTAAGCAAATTTGTTATGCAGGAAATAAAATGAATATAGCCAGTGCTGTGGTCTTAATGTTTATGTCCCCCTCAAATTCACGTGTTGAAATCCTAACCCCCACAGTGATGATATTCAGAGGTAGGGCCTTTCAGAGGCAATTAAGTCATGAGGATGGAGCCCTCATGAATGGGATTAGTTACATCTCTTCCTCATAGCTGACCCACGAAAGAAAATGTTACAGATTTAATGTGCAAATTGAGTATTAACTTTGGCTCCTTTGATAATCTAATGACAGCAAATGTTGAGGATGAAGTGACATTAATTCTGTTGATTATAAAAGCATTATAGAGATTAATGTCTAAAATGAATGAAGATATTCAGGAGTGGAGTACTCTTTTGATATTTTAATTTTCTCGCTAATTGGGAGTTAACTAAAGAAGGTAGCCAAGCATTCGTTTTAAAAGTAAAGATCTTTCTGCATCTCAGCCTTGTCCCCTAAAGATGGGCCCTTATTGTGTTTACTGTGAAGACCTGCAGATGTAAAAGGCATGGGGCAATTCGTGGACTGAGTTTCAGAGCCTGGGGTTTGGCTAGAGTGGCACTGCCATGCTTAGGGAAAGGCAGAGGCCAAAAAGGGCTAAGAGGCATTTCCCTGACCTCTCCCTGGGTAGAAGCCAGTCTCCCTGGCACAGGTGAACACAGCCGCACCTCACATCCTTCTAGCCCTTTTCTTTTTAATGTTCTCCCACCTCCCAGTATTGCTTCTTCTAACTAACTGCCCCCAAAAGCACCCGATTTGGGCTGGTCCTCTCAACCTGAGAATGGCATGCTTTTTTTCCCTCAGTGCAGCTCAGTTCACAAAGAAGCTTCGAGGGAGGACGCTGCGGTTCAATTCCAACTAACGTGCAAATGGCTCATAGCCTCATACCTAGGGAGGCTAGCCATATTTTCCAAAGATGATGCTTGTTAGCGTACACGGACCTCTGGAAGAGGGAGTGGGAGTGCGGGAGGAAGGAAGGGAAGAGAGGGCGGAAGGAGTGTATTCCTTACATGAAGGCAGCATGGCTACTGAAGTCACAGAAAGCCAGGTGTTGTGGTAGGCAGACAGAGACAGGCCCTGCCTGGGAATCTGCCCTCTGGGGGCAGCCTCCTCAAGTCACTGCTCTCTTTCTTCCTTAAGTCCTCAGTTTCTCTAAAGTTTTGTGCTTCCCCCATTTTCGTTGCTGGTAGGTCTCTAGTCACAGGGGGATAAGACCAGATAGAGGGTTCCCTGACAGCTATTGCCACATGCAAGCCGACCACACATCAGGCACCTGTGAACAGGTTAGGACCCCTGTATATTAGAATGGCCTAGAGCTCGGGAACAGAGGAAGGTCTAGTGCATCCACATGGGTACACTCCCTGTCTATGAATTTCAAACCACTTTGATCTTTATCTGGGATATAGGAAAGCTCCTTTAGTGCAAGATCCTGTCTTATTTCCTCCAACCCCCTCACCCCCAAATTAACTTTGTGAACTAAATCCATAAGAGCAGTCTTTGAGGGGAGGGAAATTGAGTCCTATTACTATAGCAAAGAGGTCACTTCCTGAGAAGCAGTTTATTCTCCTGGCAAGGGACATCCCAGTCTTATCTCCACCTGGGACAAGTGACAGCAGGATTTCCAGAGAGACAAAAAATTCTAGCCCCTTAAAATGGCTGCCACCTCCCGGCCTGAACTTTGTGCCCTGTAACAGGGTGAGGGTTCACAAAGAGCCAGCAGTTTCAGCACTCTCACACAAAGCCATCCCTACCTTTAAAAACCACTTCTAGAATCCTCTGCAATCTGATGCCAAAGGCCTGGGCAGAAGCTGAGGTCATTTTCTAAAACACAGGAGCATGACTTAGCTTGTAAATCTGAGCCCTAATGGCACAGGTGTTCCAAGGCCATGAATCTTCTATTTTCATTCCAACAGAATGTTTAGGTTGTCTGTGAGTTACAGCAGGGAGAAGGTGTGGCTTGGTGAGCAGGATGGTTTGACGTCTCTGCAGACGGCTCTGTCTGAGGACTTTGAGCTGCGTTGTTCCCAAAGACCCTGAAAGATTCTGTGTGGAGATGTTCATACACAGGCAAAAGAAAACAAGGGTTCATCCCAAGAGCAAGAGGAATGCAGGACTGCAATGTGGCCCACTGGAGGGGAGGCCAGGAGGCTTTTAATTAAATTCCAGGAACCCTGCATTCATTTTCCTATGGCTGTCCTAAGGCAGTAGTTGGAACAGTAAGGACAGCTTTCATTAAGAGGGAGGCTCTGTGTACAATGTGACGATTGTCTTTTGTAGCAGTCTTAGAAAACAGTCTCTGCTCTGTACCAACTGCAAAGGCTTTAAGGACCCCAGGGAGTTTAAAAATGGAAAGTCCCAAATCAGCCTGGCACTAACCCAGATGAGCTCCCTCACCCAGGAAACTAACACATTGAACCTACTTAGACCCTGCTGGGGGCTGCTGTTTGAGGCTACTAGCCTGTGGAAGCCACACAGGAAGCCTAAGAACATACAAAGCCTGGGAGAGACACTTTCCTCACCCAAAGCCTTCATTGGTCCCCACAGGAGGCCCTCCTCGTGAGGAACACTTTCACAGTGCCATAGACCGGGGCCTGTGACATGGCTTCAGGGAGTGGCAGGGCTGCTGCTCACTAGCTATGTGATCCGAGGAAGTCCAGGGACATCTCTGGGGGCAGGTGAGCATCCGTAAAGTGAGGTGATCAAATGGCAGCAGGCCAGGTGAGGCTCACAGGGTATAAACATGCAGAGTGCCCACCATCGGGATCTGCCTGCCTTAAGTGTCCTTACCACTAGGAAAGTGACCAGCCCCCTCCACAACCACCACCACTTGGGGCCACCCATGTAGTGAAGGCTTCCAGCAACCTCAGGCTCCAGTCACTAGCCTTGGTGATGTAGATGCGTTTTCCATAAGCTGCCTTAAAAATCCTTTTTGAAGCCAAGTTGGGGTATACGTTACATAAGCTTTTCTGAGAAGTTCTGAACACAAATTACAAACCGGCCCAAAAGTGAAAAACCTGAACCTCATGAACGTGGTCATCATGCTGCTCATGTACTTCAGTTTCCCCAGGAGAGAAATGAAGAAGCCACCGGCTTTGCGCTCAGACACGACGAATGGATAGCAGTTGGTGAGCAAGCTTGATGAGGTTTCAGCTCTGCCTGAGGTAGAGGGGCCAACACCACAAACTTGGGTGGGGAACAG